ACCGATATCATTGTTTTGGACCTGGTATGCAATCATTGTCTCATGTATAATACATAAAGTGTATATTTATTAAATGGTTACATAATTTTATTATAGCTAACAGCGATAGTACTGTTTAACCCGGATCAACCCAATCTTGAACATAAAAACTTTGTTAAGTAAGTTATAATAATTAAATTAATGATCATTTAATGAGAAAATATTTTGAGTATGGTAGTATTAATTAAATTGTTTACATTTCTATGTTCATAGGCTACAGCAAGATATATATATGTATTTACTTCAGCGCTATTTAGCCGTCAGATATCAATCGCAAACAGAATCCACTTTGAAATTCGTGAAACTTGTAAATTGTCTCAAAGTCTTGAATGTTTTAAGTGAAAACTTAAAACTCAGTATGGAGTATAAGGACCCTGATCATGTGCCACCACTCATGAAGGATATCTTAGATATAAATGAGAAAAGGTCGGGCAATACATGTGATGGATGTGCCGGCGCTACGGTTACGTCCAATAATATCGTTGTTTTTTAAATCATTTCAATATCATTGCAATAATTCTGTATTTTAATAATAAACACTTTGTTAATAATAAACAAACAGTTAATCATACCAGTTAATTTTTGATTTTAAATAAATCATTTATTTCTAATAATTGAATAAATATTTCAAACCCTAAATATTAGTGAAAAGTTTAAACACATATTAAAAAACATGGCTTTTGCATAATCAGTAAATTAATTAAATATATTTTATAAATTAGTTTATGTTCAATTATAACCTAGTGATAAGATTCACAACTTATTATTGGTTTATTTTCTCAGCACTGATATAAATATCTCAACAATTGATTGACTCTATGCTAAAACGGACATTTATTTTGCAACGAATCTAATAAATAGAATATATTTTTAACTACTGTTAACTTAAATAAATTTTGTAAATATATTTAGAAGTATTAAAATTAATTATTTATAATTTATTATCGAAATATTCAATTTATTTGTTCACAAAATGTCCGTTTTGTGCGTAAAAAATCATTTATTTGATTTAAGTAGTGATCGCATCTAAAACTATAATAAAATTATTGTGTTTGAAGCAAAATTACGGTGTAGTTCAGGATGAATGTAAATATCTGTGTAAAAGGATCAGAATAAATAAATATTAATATTTGAAAATAAATTACTATAATTCATTGATTAAAATCTGTACCGAAATAAGTGTGGATTTATTGAGTGCAGCGAACCCTCCGATAGTGAACCCAAATGTACGCGTATTTCGCATTACAGTCGCAAACGTAAGCCATTCCTTGTATGCCTTATCCGATAAATCATTTACATTAATATTATCCAAAACTGCGCTTAATTTTTCAACACTACCACCAATTGCACCGCATATTAAGCACGAAATAATTAATTGCAACGAATATGATATACTCGCAAATGACATGAGGATAGCCATGGCCCGCATTGTGGGGTATTTGTTAGCCCGTGAAACGGCAAATATGGCGGTCATTGTGGTATAAACTATTGAGATTGCGTTTATTATATGATAGTTTGATAAACTATGGTCCAAATCGTCGACAACCTTCATAACCATTAAAAATACCTGCTTGTTGATTGTTAACTGATTATCCATCTTAATTGCATAATTTGCTTAAATAAAGCATGAATAGCATGATAATTATTAAGGCAAAGCATAACAATCAAATCAATTATTATTATAATTTATATTTACCTTGAACATAGTTAAGTTTGTCGCATATATTAGCAAGTATATCGCAAATAAATGTCGTCATTACCCATAAAATACCAGGTATAATCCAAATATATATAAATAATAAATTAGTCTCAATTGTTCCCATTATATACAGTATAATGGTTGGGATACTTGAATAAAAGTATAGCCCGTTACTAACGTTACCAGAATAACATGAATCATCCAGACAACTAGCAGGGTAATTATCTTCATTTTAAATAACGACATCCTAGATAAATATGGACCAATAATTTTCCAGAATATCTCAAATAGCAGATTACCCTTGCTATTTAAGTAGTAGATAATGTATATTCGGTGTACACGCTGAAGCATGTTCATAGATAGGTGAATTGCCATTTCAAATAGCGTAACATCTTTAAATGTTGGATCCTCATTCATAAAATGAATTCCAATTATCAAGGTTACAATCTGAAATGTTGTTGTACCCAGTAGAATGATGTAACCATAATATTTCCAAAACTTGCTTGTTGAAACATAACCTTTTGTAGAGATACTGATCCCGCCAAATGTGATACCTGTTACCCGAGTGAAGTATAACATAACCAAGATTATGTATATAAATTTCATTTTTGGGTAATCAAGCATATTTGTAAAGTTGCTCAATGATTTTATTATTAATAATTTAAGTACGAACTGATATTATGATTGCATTTAAATAGATTTTTATTAACATATACTAATAAATACTTATATTAAATGTTTTATCATATTCTTTTTTATATTATTTACTTAGCAATATATTTAATTAAATCAACTTGTTCAATACTTGTTCAAAACTGCACTTATTGTATTATTAAATTAAATGCAAATATTGAATAAATAAATAAACTTATTAAATATATAAAATAATAAAATAATTATATTTCATGTACTGTATTAAATGTTTAAAACCTAAATACTAAATATTTTAGAAAAATAATGTTTATAAATTATATAAATTCAAAATACACTCTTTGTAAATACTTATTTATAATATTAATATCTATGGGGTCAGAAATTTGTAAAATGTTTATTAGCTTTTTATGTGTCTAATAGAAAACAAACTCAAAAAACATAAACATTTCATACATCAACCAATTATTTTATCATAAATATAATTGAAAACATTTATATATTATTATTATAATTATTTGGCTAAAATATGATATTATGTAAGCTAGTTGAATATATGCTCTCAAATGATTTAAAATTATTAAAATAAATCTCAATCCATCAAGCAAATAACACTTGTTTTTAAAATTATTTACATTCAGTTAAATATTTTGTAATAAAAATAACATTTAAAATTTTTATTATATTACTAATACCATATGGGTTTATAAATAAAATATTAAAATTTCTCATTTATTATCTCATGAGTAAAATCCTTATATTAAAATTTTCATATGAAATGAGTTATAAATAAATATTTATATTTCAGTGCTTTTCGTATGGTTAAGGGCAGTGTATCATATTTTATAATTAATGAACATAGTACAAAAGTTAAATTGTCCAAAATAATTATTATAATGCTATTTACTGACAGTTATATTAAAAATGTGTCAAAATAATAGGCAAACAAAAATGAACCTATAGGTAAACATATCAAAACAATGTGACATTTGTTGACTTGAGCTATACATTTAGTTTACATAATAATAAAATCATTTTTATATAAAAAGAAAAAATGTCATGCATAATTTATATTCTATTTTAATGTTATCATAAAAAAATTAATAATGTATAAGGCATGCTTTCTAATTTATAACGGCTATGCTATTTAAATATCGATATAACTTTACATATAAAAATAATTATCGAAACCTTTTATAAGAATATAAAATAAATATTTATAAAATATTTTCGTAAATAAAAACTATTATCGATGCCCTTAAAAACAATCATAAAAAGTATAAAGTATGAACTATTTTTTAAACATTTATATCGTACTTCAAAAGTTTCAACAATGGAGTTATTACCCAAAAAACAAGTGTTTATATTAAAAACATTGTTGTGGTTCCACCGTATACTTGGCCTTACCTTCGGCGGACTATACGTGGACTCAAACGGCCGGTTGTGTCAGAGCACCGGTATTAAACTCTACGGATTTTTAATAACAATCTTGCTACTTTTTAATGACTCTTTTCACGTCATATACATGGGTTATAATTTTGAATATATCAGGGCTGCGACATTTGGTGCAGGGTCCCAGCATGATGCCGTGCCCTTGTTAATAATAACCATGCTAAGTTTGCAAGTGGTAGCTAAATGTATTATACTTTGCACGTTAA